GCAAAATTTTATTATTGTTATATTTTTTAAATTTTTCGGAAAATAATCGACTGAATTTTAAACAATTGTATATGAAACAATTTTCGTTGAGCATTCTCACTAAATTAGGAAGGTTAATTATTTTAAAAAATTTTCACTAAATAATTAATTGCTCGCGACAGTCACGAATTGAAGTGACTGAATTATCAGTTTTGACATATAATATGTGAAAGCAGCAACTTCATAACATAACACAGATAAATGATACAGACACTACGCGGCGCATCGTCGTATATTTTCGTATTATTAAGATTCAACATCAACTTCTATATTTAGGGTAGGATGGGAATGCTGCTATATAGAATGTGAGAAGCCGATTAGCTTGAAACAAGGTGACATTTTATGAGTATATATGTTCGGCTCGAACAAATACTCATGAGTATATATGTTCGGCTCGAACAAATACTCATAAATGTCACCAAGTTTCAAGCTAATCGGTTTCTCACATTCTATATAGATAAGTTAATGATTTCAATCAATTTAATGAAAAACATATAGATAATATCTATCTATATCTATATCTATAAAGGAAGATGTCCTGACTGACTGACTGACTGACTGACTGACTGACTGACTGACTGACTCATCAACGCCCAGGCCAAACCCCTGAACCTAGAGACTTGAAATTTGGAGGGTGTATTCCTCTCATGACGTAAGCATCCACTAAGAAAGGATTTTTAGAAATTCCACCCCTAAGGGGGTGAAAAGGGGTAAAATGTTTTTTTTTCACGATTGTTCTGACTGACTGACTGACTGACTCATCAACGCCCAGCCCAAGAATTTTCCGGGGAGTGCCACTATGTGTATAGTTTTTTGTTACCGATTTTCTGGAAACCGATTTTTTTAATTTTTCCTATTTTTCGAAAAATAATTGATCAAATCTCAACAAATTATAGATCAAACAGGGGTAGAATTTTCCGAAGAGTACTATGAAGTGTATAATTTTTCGTTACCGATCTTTTGAAAGCCGGTATCGAAATTTTTTCAAATAATTTTTACCAAAAGTATATGAAATAGGGGTAGAATTTTCCGGGGAGTGCCACTATGTGTATAGTTTTTTGTTACCGATTTTCTGGAAACCGGTTTTTCTAATTTTTCGGAAAATAATTCACCGAATTTCAAAGAATTGTAGATCAAACAGGGGTAGAATTTTCCGGGAAGTGCTATGAAGTGTATAATTTTTCGTTACGGATCTTTTGGAAGCCGGTATCGAAATTTTTTCAATCTTTCGGGAATTAATTGACCGAATCTGAAAGAATTGTATATAAAGTAGAAGTAGAATTTTACGGCGAGCGCCATAATGTGTACAGTTTTTGTTACCGATCTTTTTGGAAACCGGTTTTTTTAAATCTTTCAATTTTTCGGGAAGTAATTGATTAAATGTCAAAGAATTATACATGAAGTAGGGGTAGAATTTCCCGGGGAGTGCTATAAAGTGTATTATTTTTTATTACCGATTTTTTTAAAAACCGGTTCCGAATGACCGAATCTCAAAGAATTGTACATAAAGTAGGGGTTGAATTTCCTGGGGAGTGCTATCAAGTATATAATTTTTTGTTATCGATTTTTTTGGAAAGCGGTATCAGAAGTTTGACGAATTTTCGGGAAATAATTAATCGAATTTTAAAGAATTGTATTTAGAGAGAGAGAGAGAGAGAGAGAG